GCTTTTGGATGCGGAAGAGGTTGATGTTAGGCTCCTCTGGGTACTTCAGATATGAAATTATACTCTACACCAGGTCTACATCGTTGATAATGACAAATGAAAATGCAGTTTGACGCTGCATCTCTGTGATGCATGCAGACAACACACACACACACACACACACACTCAAAGATGGACAAACCACGGAGACATGGAGAGAGATGAGAAGACCTTTGAAAGACTTACTCAGCACTTCTTAATTCGTTTTTAGGGAAACGTATTAAAAAAGATCTACAGTTACAAATTTCATTCAATTGTAGCAAGTCTGCTAAATGAATCATTTTAATGAACTGGTTTAAAAAAACAGATTCACTGATTCAACTGAATCATCACTCAGTTGTGTGGAACTCCCTTCCCAACCTTTAAAAAAATACTATCAATCTATCATGCTTTCTAATCCATTATATAGGTTTTATTCTAGTTCTATTACTTTATCTTAAATGTACAGTACCGGTTAAAAGTTTGGAGTATGATTTTTTTTTTAAAGAAACTAATACTTTTATTCAGCAAGGATCTATTAAATTGACAAAATATTTATATTTCAAATAAATTCTGTCCTTTTGAAACAATCTTGGGAAAAAATGTATCATGGTTACTAAGCTTTTTTAAAAGTGATAAAAAGAAATGTTACTGTTGTAGTTACTTTTTTCAAGCTTGGTTGCACTTAATTGTATTTAGGTAACTTCACATTATGATGAACTTGTTTGGAAAGCTACAGTATCAAAGTAGTTTCCTAAACACTGATGAGCTGATGTTTGAGAAAAGGTCTTCAAAAAGACCAGCAGAGCAAAACCAGATGATACTACAATGAGAGATACCGTATCAGGTTATAGTAAGAGAAAACTCTCCCTGTCTGTAACTATCAGATGTGGTGGATGCAACACAAATAAAGAAAATAAAGAGTTGCTGTTACTTACCAGGCATGCCTGAGTGATTTATCAAATATTTATGGGGGACGGAGGGAGCAAAACAGAAAAAAGGGACCGCATTAAGTCAAGCCAGCAGGGTGGGACATGTGAGAGAGAAAAGCGTGTCAGAAACATAGACGAATTTTGAAATTAATGAAGTGTCCTAGAATAAAATTAAGTAGGTGGTGAGAGCCAGAAAAGTGTCCAAGAAAATGAACCATGGAAAAAGGAATGATAAGCAAAGATACAAAATAAAGTGAAAATAAAATGACCAATACAGCTGGGAAGCAGAATATCAAGGATGGCATTTTATCATGAAGAATATAAAAAGGAATGAAAAAAGGTTGTTTCTTTGCACAAAGAGAGAAAATGTCAAGGTTATACCAGACACTCAATATCGCAATCTGAAAATGTAAGAAAGCACACAGCCTAGAGTGTTTACATGGACGTAAATACTGGACAGGCAAAGAAATTAGATTAATGTGTCAGTGGGTGAAGCCTGGTAAGGGACATGTTTTGAGCAGAAACATGTTTGTGTTTTCTGAAGTCAAGTGGATTATACAGGCCAGGGAGACATGAAGGCTTGTGCTTGTAACTGACCGGTGTTTGGGTCCAGAGGCACGAAAGATTTGTCTGCAAGTTAAATGAGAAAGTAACAAAACCTTATTGCATATGTGTGTTGGTGTGGCGTGACTGGGTAAGGGCTGTGCCTGTTCATTTATAGCAGTGTAGCAGAAGAAAAGCCCAGATAAATAGAACCAAAAGTGCCTGACAGTGTTCACAAAACACAAATTAAAAATCCCCAGGAGAAGATGAAATCATATTTAGTAATCAAGACTCACCAATCATCTCTGCAATAGTCTTCTCATACTCCATAACTATCTTCCTGCAAAGAATAAGCAAAAATCAAGTTAATATTCAAATAAGGTGCATATACACTACACGTTCTGATCAAAAAAAAACTTTTTAAGCATACTGTTTTCCATTTAGCTTTAAATAAATAAAACAGGCTGTGTGACTTTGAGGAATATGTAATTTAACATGCAGATGCAAGGAACTTTTCAAAAACAAGTTTATTTATTCATATACTGTATATCTGCAGTGTAAAAAAAAATAGACTAAAAAAATAAGACTGATGTACACTACCGTTGAAGAATTTAATAGTCTTATTGAGCAAGGAAGCAGTAAAATGATCAAAAGCAACAGTAAAGACTTTTACATCAAAATCCTGGAAAAAATTTATCGCATTCTCCTCAAATATATTAATCAGTACAACTGTTTTCAACAATATTAATAATAAGAAATGTTTCTTGAGCACCAAATCAGCATATTA